ACCACCAAAACAAGTTTTACGACTATCGCCTGAAGACACACCAAGAACCAGTTTCTTAAAGAACAGACAACTTAAGATGTTAAAACTCGCCTAACAAAAACAACGTGTCACGAATCCATATAGCGGGTCGGGAGTTAGACGCAGTCCTATGTATCCAGCAACCAGATATAAAGTATTGTTATCCTTTTTTTGATACCTTTGAACTTTTGAGTTATTATTTTCTTTTCTTTTACACATATTTGTGCGATACCACCTGTTTCGAACTCAACCTGCATTACGGCCCCGACGACTGATTGATTTCGTCTGACTAAGATCAATTCACAACGTGGGTAGGCAGACTGGAGATCAAAGCAGTTACTTCGGTAACCAGACGTTGGAAGCGAGTTGAGAACGACGAGGCTGATATCGAATCTAACCAGATTCCCATCCGAATCACCAAAAGGTCAGAAAGTCACATTTGAGTGCCGCGACCAATACCAAGCCAGTTGGTCGTCACAGGACAGGACAACACGACTGATGCAGACAGGCGGACGTCACGATTGAAGAGGCGACACCCGAAGGAAGCAGCGAGGAACGAGCAAGGCTGGGGGACGTCACAACACTTGTAACTATTTTTATATCTACCGTGAAACAATACATACCAATTATTTGCACATTTTGTCTCAGGAGCTCAGGCAGAAGGGTTAAAATTATTCAGGAACGTAGGGCTGAAAGGGTTAATGAACATGGCAATGTGAACAAAAACGTAAAAAAAGAGCATGTAGCCACAGCTCAGAGTTGACCTGACTGAGTAAAACCAATTTGATTTTTGGATTCAACAAAATTGTTCTAAATCAGCAAAAAAGCATTTAGACAATAAATTCGGTGTTGACCAGTAAATCAGTTCATTCTGTCGTTTCTATTTCCCCGAAGTTTATTGATCTCTCTTACTGTACAATCATTCCGTTGTTGCTCTTCATTTAGAAGGAAAAATTCACACGTTATAAAAAATGGATATCGCGTGAAATTTGCACAAACAAAACGCGGCTGGTATTTAAACGCTTGTCATTCACTTTTTACACGTAAAAAAGCAAAAGATCATTGCTGAACAAGATGGCCTTTTGCAAAGTTAAAAAAAACAAAAAAAAACATTTATTGTTTGAATTTTTTGTTTTACGGCATATCAACCTCAATGAGTTATTTAATGCCGACAAGATTTTCATTGCTGGTAAAAAAATTTATCTATCTATCTATCTCGGTATATATTGGTTTGGTTTGGGTTTTTTTCATGGTATATCAACATAAATGGATTATTTCATGCCGACAATTTTTTATTGCTGGCAATACACTTTCCAAAAATATATGTTTGTAATATTTTTTTTTCGAAAATGAATGGCTGGTAATCTTAATTTATTCAAAAATTTATTGCAGGTAATATTTTTTTTCAAAAATGTATTGATGGTAATATTTATTTTCTTCAATAATCTATTGCTGTTAATATTTATTCATCAAAAATTGATTGCTTGTAATAAAACCTATTTTTACATTTTCATAGTGTATTGACCCAGTTTTTTTTGGGGGGGGGTAACTATTCACCCATAGTTGGTACCCGAACAGGTGCTACCACCTCAGTGAGGGTGGATCTGGGAACACCAGCAATTAAGTAGTGGACCCATGTTCATCAAAACCTCCTGATCAAAGGACTTGCTGTCGGATGTAGTTTATCGTCTTACCCAGGATGTGAATACAGTGTATCGTCTTACCCAGGACGTGGATACAGTTTATCATCATACCCAGGACGTGGATACAGTGTATCATCTTACCCAGGATACGTATGCAGTTTACCGTCATACCCAGGATGTGGATAAAGTGTACCGTCTTACGCAGGACGTGGATACAGTGTATCGTCATACCCAGGACGTTGATGTAGTTTATCGTCCTACCCAGGACGTGGATACAGTGTATCGTCTTACCCAGGACGTGGGTACAGTATATTGTCTTACCCAGGACGTGGATACAGTATATCATCTTACCGAGGACGTGGATGTAGTTTATCATCATACCCAGGACGTGGATGTAGTTCATCGTCATACACAGGACGTGGATACAGTATATAGTCTTACCCAGGACTTGGATACAATATATCGTCTTACACAGGACGTGGATGTAGTTTATCGTCTTACCCTGGACGGAGTAACAGTGTATCGTTTTACCCAGTTGCTGGATACAGTGTATCGTCATACACAGGACGTGGATGTAGTTTATCGTCTTACCCAGGATACGGACGCAGTTTATCGTCATACCCAGGACGTGGATACAGTGTATCGTCTTAGCCAGGATACGGATACAGTGTATCGTCTTACCCAGGATGTGGACAGAGTGTATCGTCATACCCAGGACGTGGATGTAGTTAATCGTCTTACCCAGGACGTGGATACAGTGTATCGTCTTACCCTGAATCAGGATGCAGTTCATCGTCATACCCAGGACGTGGATACAGTGTATCGTCTTACCCAGGATACGGATGCAGTTTATCGTCATACCCAGGACGTGGATACAGTGTATCGTCTTACCCAGGATACGGATGCAGTTTATCGTCATACCCAGGACGTGGATACAATGTATCGTCTTACCCAGGACGTGGATGTAGTTTATCGTCTTACCCAGGACGTGGATACAGTGTATCATCTTACCCAGGACGTGGATACAGTATAACGTCTTACTCAGGACGTGCATGTAGTTTATCGTGTTACCCAGGAAGTCGATACAGTATATCGTCATACCCAGGACGTGGATACAGTGTATCGTAATACCCAGGACGTGGATTTAGTTTATCGTCTTACCCAGGACGTCGATACAGTATATCGTCTTACCCAGGACGTGGATGTAGTTTATCGTCATACCCAGGACGTGTATACAGTGTATCGTCTTACCCAGGGCGTGGATACAGTATATCGTCTTACCCCGGATACGGATGCAGTTTATCGTCATACCCAGGATGTGGATACAGTGTATCGTCTTACCCCGGACGTGGATGTTGTTTATCGTCTTACCCAGGACGTGGATACAGTGTATCGTCCTACCCAGGACGTGTATAGAGTATATCGTCTTACCCCTGATACGGATGCAGTTTATCGTCATACCCAGAACGTGGATACAGTGTATCGTCTTACCCAGGACGTGGATGTTGTTTATCGTCTTACCCAGGACGTGAATACAGTGTATCGTCTTACCCAGGACGGGATACGATCGTCTTACCCAGGATATGTTGTTTATCGTCTTAGGATACGGAATACAGTGTATCGTCTTACCCAGGACGTAGATACAGTATATCGTCTTACCCAGGATACGGATACAGAGTATCGTCTTACCCGTGATGTGGATACAGTGTATCTTCATACCCAGGACCTGGATGTAGTTTATCGTCTTACCCAGGACGTGGATATAGTGTATCTTCTTACCCAGGTCGTGGATACAGTATACAGTATATCGTCTTACCCAGGATACGGATGCAGTTTATCGGTCATACCCAGGACGTTTATACAGTGTATCGCCTTACCCATGACGTGGATGTAATTTGTCGTCGTATCCAGGACGTGGATACAGTTTATCGTCATACCCAGGACGTGGATACAGTGTATCGTCTTACCCAGGATACGGATGCAGTTTATCGTCTTACCCAGGACGCAATATATTTTAAATACATATTTAAATTTATACGACTTTTCTATCTTGGTTTATACTTACAACCTTCCATAGATAAGTAATTATTTTCTATAAAACCTGAGTGCTGCCGAGCGATTAGAATATGCGACTCAGCTTAGTATGGTCGATTTCACAAATGTGATAATATTGGCTTGGGGAGATTAAAGTTTTGTGAGTGAAATCACGTAAATGGTACTGTTCGAAAGCGATTGATGGTTGTGCTAGCACGAAGTTACAAGTCATCGTGACCGAGATTTTGAATGTACTGGTGTTGTTCAGGCGGTTGATCACACCAGATAATCCGTTTTCTGCGAGATACTTTAACTCAGTTCCACGGATCATAGTTGTCGTATGAACTACAGGTTTGTTTCTGTGGGTGTTGAACAAACAAAAATGTGCCTGTACAAGTGTCTGCGCCAGGGATTGGTTTAGAATCGAAGCATACGGACATACTCAGAAATTCACATTTTGGATTGATGCTATGAGGAATTAAATACACTTGAAAATTGATTAGAAAACTGTAGTTTAAGTCTGTATTGGTACGACATCACTTGTACAAATCAAGATACCGCTGGTTCAATTCGCCGTCCTTGCTTTCTGAACACGTCACAACATATATCTGTCTCTCCTTCTGCCCTTTTTCATTGGTTCAGCCCTCTTTTATCAGGCCAACACTGCGGTCGACCAACCAATGAGCGTTCTTCGTTTTTATTCTCAGTTACCCAGCCACCTCCAGTTCGACTAATCAGCACACGACTTGTTATTGGTGGAAGCATGCCAAACTGTACAAAAACCCTCATTACCACACATACTGCTAGACAGGAGAGTAATGCCATTTTCACGGGGCAAATTTGACAATGTCACGTGCCGCCCGTTAAGTTAAGACCCTTATTTTCCTATGCACCAGATGCAAGCCACTCTGGCTCGCTTGCTTATACGGGGCTGTTCACCACAAAAACTAAGAGCAGTTGCATGTTAATATATGATGTGTGCTGACACGAAGTAAATACGTCTTACTTTTAACAGGTTTACTGCCATTACACATTAAAACACCGGTTCTGGTCGGATCAGTGAAGAGAAGCAATTTCGAATCTGGTAAGTATTTAGATGGGTGACCAATTCGGAATACCAGGTGCTGTAAGCTTAGATAAGCGCGATGGCATAATGGATAACGGCCAAAAATTGGAAATCGGAGAAATTGACGTAGAAATTGAACAGACAAAGATAGACAGAAAGGTAGACAATAGCTAGGAAAAGGGCAACAGTCCGTAACGTATAAATAAAGCAAATAATAACACAACGTGATCTATGAAAAGCTAGAATATGAAATGATAGATAGATAGATAGATAGATAGATAGATAATAATGAATAGACTGAAATGGATATTGAATAGCCATAAATAGATAATTCAGTGACTAGAAGAGAGGCAGACAAAAACAGATAGATGGATAGATAGATAATAAAGTCATAGACAGACATAGATAGATAGATACGAACAGACAGGAAGAGATAGATAGATAGATAGATAGATAGATAGATAGATAGATAGGAATAGCTATGAGCAGTGATTATAAGACGAGAAAAAAGAAAATAGATAACGAATAGTGTGAACTATATAATGGACACTCATAAATAGATAATGAATATACATACATAGAAATTGAACAGGCTTAGATAGATAGATAGATAGATAGATAGCTAGCTAGCTAGCTAGCTAGATAGATAGATATCAACGTGCAATGGCCTTGCGCGATTACATTCCCTTTATGAAGACGGATCAATAGAGAAGTTTCCTTAATGTGAGTTGCAGTGCACTTGTACACTGTGAGGACCGATATCGTTGGGAAAATGCCACGTGCAACCCAGCAAAGAATGTCTATTTCTTCTCTGAAAAGGTCAGTGACGAGATCTCTGCAAGTGACATTTATAATTTATATATCTGCCTTTCTTTCTCTCTGTATATATATATATATATATATATATATATATATATATATATAAAAAAATGAGGACAAATGGAGGATAGTTCGACTGCAAGTGACATTTATAATTTATATATCTGCCTTTTCTTTCTCTCTGTATATATATATATATATATATATATATATATATATATATATATATATATATATATAGACAAATGGTGGAGGATAGTTCGACTGCAAGTGACATTTATAATTTATATATCTGCCTTTCTTTCTCTCTGTGTGTATATATATATATATATATATATATATATATATATATATAGGTAAAATGAGGACAAATGGAGGATAGTTCGACTGCAAGTGACATTTAATTTAAAACAGGGCTCAGTACATTGCAAGGCTAGATATTATTTATTTTAGGATATTAGAACATGTTAAAAATCGCTACAGAGTAGTTTAACATTGCCTGAAGAGATAGAATTATGGTGGTGAAACATAATTGTAATTGTGTAGCGATTTTTTACATGTTTCAATGTCCTAAAATAAATTATACATATATGCCCTTGCATGAAGTATTACTGCTACATATGGTCTGGAGCCCTTTCTAATTGTCTCATGGTCCTTGATAAAATCCAAAGACGCATATGGAATGTAATTAGCCTTGATCTGGCATCTCGTCTGCAGTCGCTCTCTCACAGACGTGCCGTCGCCTCCCTCTGTCTTTTTTTTTACAAATACTTTCACGGTAACAGCTCCGAAGAGCTGCTTTCGGTGGTTCCCAGACTTCATGAATTTAAGCGTTCAACTAGGCTGGCATCTCGTTCCCACCTTTTCACTGTCGAAACTGTTAAATATAGCCGTCTCTTCTACTCCAATAGCTTCATATCTCGCACTTCTCGCTTGTGGAACTCCCTCTCCTTTTTCCGTTTTCCTGATAGCTATAATCTTCAACTATTCAAATGTAATGTCAATCAACATCTCCAGATGCCCTGTTCTATCCCCTAACTTTCTCTTCAACCTTTCCTCTATCACTCCTCTTTGCTCTCGCTCCAACTCTCTGTAACTCATTGCGTGCTAGTGGCTACCCGCCTTGCTTGGGGTCGAATCCTTTAAAAAAATGTGTATGTGTGGGTGTGTGTGTGTTTGTGTGTGTGTGCGTGAGTTTTTATTATTATTCACTTACTTTGCAGCCTTTTCATATTTGCATGTGATTAATACGATTTTCGTATATTTCCAGGTCTCGCTTAGGGTTTAACTTAAAATCAAGGGCATCACTTTCAAATCTGGTAAATCATGCGTCTCCTACATTCTTTAATGTCATAATGTCTTTTGTAAGGTTTCTGTCAATGACCGTATGTTTCATTCAATTTTTAGAGATTGCATCATATATAGCACGGAATTCAGAGAATTTTTTATTTCCTACATTATTATGGCTGTATTTCACGCCCCATACATACATACATACATACATACATACATATATATATATATATATATATATATATATATATATATATATACGTGAACATAGAAGTCAACACTTAGAGGCGACGGGCTGTTTCATGCTAGACGCAATCGTCAGGACGATATTTAACGGTCCCCATACGAGGAATGTATGTGGCACAAGGCCGAGTTTTAAATATTCCCTTAGAACTCGCATAAGCGGGTTCAGGGCCTGTCTACCTCCCCGGACGAAACTCTGCCCTTCGGCATAGCTTCGTCCGGGTTCCTCTCTGCCAAAGTAGAGAGTTCGACAGAAGTCGCACACAGTCAGAGACTGCGTGTCGACTGCCTCAATGCAATCGCTAGGACACGAATGCTGTTATTTTTCTCGGCTATTTATATATACGGGTCAGTGGTGCATTGTGGGTAATCTATTTTGACGGTTATTTTACCGGAAGTTGTTTATTTATTTATTTACCTATAATTATTTTGCTTGTTTTTATATATTTTTATGTTTTATTTTCATTTCTTATCTTATATATTTATTTATTTTTTATTTTTATTAGTCGGTGTTTTTAATAACGTAGTAAAAATTTGTTTATATCGCTTATTTAATAGTTTGGTTTTGGTTTGGGAAGATAAGTAACTTCACTTTTATTAGAAACATAGAATTCCATAAAAAACTAAATGCATTTAATAAAAACTAAAAGAAGATTTAACTAAAATAAACAATTCAGTAAATGTATTTAGCGCAGCTGATAAAACAAGAAATTTATACAAACTAAGCCCTCCTACGCACGATAAATTATTCAAGAACAACATAACCAAAACATGCAAAAAAGCAACGAAAACAATAGAATACGATATCAATAAGGAAGCTAAAACAATCGCCTAAAAATTAGACCTAGATGACCGAATAAGTTGTATTAGCAAGGCACAAGTCTTTATAACACCAAAAGACCATAAAGAAAATTTCAAAACCAACCCTGCATGTAGACTCATAAACGCAGCCAAAAGCGATCTAGGTAAAATAAGTAAAACAATACTAGAAAGAATTAATTCTGAACTTAGGAAGAAGTTAGGAGTAAACCAGTGGAAAAACATAAAAGCAACTATTGACTGGTTCCACAGCATAAATAACAAACAAAATTGCCAAGTCCTACAATTAGACATAAAAGAATTTTACCCATCCATAACAGAACGTATGCTAGATAAGGCCATCAACTTAGCTCAGGAACAAATAATAATAAAACCAAACGAAATCAACATCATTAAACACTCCCGTAAATAATTATTATTCCACAATGAAGAAGCATGGATAAAGAAAGATGGGATATTTAACATTACAATGGGAAGCTTTGACGGTTCAGAGACATGCGAAATCATAGGTATTTACTTACTACACGAACTGAGCAAAATAATAGATAGAAATGACACAGGACTCTACAGTGATGACGGCAACTTACGGTTTCTTAAGAAACTGTAACAAAACACAGACAAACCTTGAAAAGCAATAATAAAGATTTTCAAAAATAACGGATTCGACATAGATATAAAAACTAACCTAAACGAAGTAGATTTTCTAGATGTTACCTTCAACCTAAGAAAAGGCACATATAAACCATACAAGCAACCGAATGATAAACCACTCTACATACACACATCTTCCAACCACCCGGCTTCTATAATCAAACAAATACCAAAATCGATTAACCGCAGGCTTTCCGACAATTCCTCCAAAGAATCCATATTTAACAAAGCTAAGAATGACTACGAAACAGCCCTAAAAGATAGCGGATTCCCAGCAACACTTACATATTCACCACAGAACACACAAAAGGTCAACAGGAAAAGAAATATCATATGGTTCAATCCACTGTACAGCAAAGACGCAAAAACAAACGTAGGAAAAATATTCTTCAAATTATTAAACACTTTCCGGAATCAAGCACCCTACACAAAATATTCAACCAAAACACAGTAAAAATCAGCTACAATTCCACCGAGAACATGGCACAAATAATAAAAAAGCGCAACAGTAAAATTATCAACAAACCACACGAACAAATTAAATCCTCGTGTAACTACAGAATAAAGAACGAATGTCACTTAAACGGTAATTGTTTACCAAGCCACGATAAAATCACCAGATAATGAAGAGAAAGTATACATAGGAGTAACTGAAGGACCCTGGAAACAAAGAAAATATGCACACAAAACATCTTTCACAAATAGTAAATATGCGAACAGCACAATGCTTTCTAAGTATTTTTTTAAAGCATTACGCCCTGATCAAGGCGTGAAGCCACTAGGATGCAGGGGGTTGCAGAAGATTTGGGGCGAGAGCAGATAGGAGTGATAGAAGAAAGGATGAGGAGAGGGATAGTGGGTAGATCAAGGTAACTAAAGATGTCGATTGACACTACATTTGAATAGTTGGGGATTATAGATCTCAGGGAAACTGAAATAGGGAAGGGAGTTCCACAGGCGAGAGGTGCGAGGTATAAAGCTATTGGAGTAGAAGAGACAGCTACATTTAAAAGTTTCTACAATGTAAGGGTGGGAGCGGGATGCCAGCCTCGTAGGGTGCTTGAATTCATGGAGTCTGGGAACCAGTGAAAGCAGCTCGTCAGAGCAGTCACCATGGAAGTATTTGTAGAAAAGACAGAGAGAGGTGACGGCGCGTCTGTGAGAGAGCGACTGTAGACGAGACGCCAGATCAGGGCCAATTATATTACATATCCGTCTCTGGATCTTGTCAAGAACTCCGAGGTAAACAGAAGGTGCCCCAGAACATATATGGCAGCAATACTCCATGCAAGGGCGAATGGTTGATTTGTATATTTGAAGTATTGATTCCGGGGAGAAATAATTTCCTGGCGCGAAAATGTTATATAACGATAAAAGAAAAATAAATATTACGTTACTTAAAAATAGAAAACCGAAAAGTGTAAATAAAAATGTACAGTACAATAAATAAATAATAAAAAACAAGTAAAATAAATTCATCCAAATAAATAAACTAAAAAAACAATCCGATGAAGTAACAGTTACAAAAAACAAATAAAGATAATCAATCCAAATAAATACATGAAGTAATAAACAAATTAAAAACTACTCCCGCCAAAATAATAGAATAAACTACAGCAATCAACCCCCAAAGTGAACAAATAGCTTTATCTTCCCAAACCAAAACAAAACTATTAAATAAGCGATATAAACAAATTTTTACTACGTCAATAAAAACACCGACTAATAAAATAAATAAATAAATAAATATATAAGATAGGAAGTAAAAATAAAGCATAAAAAAAATACAAATAAGAAATAAATAAAAACAAGCAAAATAATTTAACTCAAATAAATAAACAAACAAATAAACGACTTCCGGTAAAATAACCGCCAAAATAGACTACCCACAATACACCACCGACCCGTATATATAAATAGCCGAGAAGAATAACAGCACGCGTGTTCTGACGATTGCGTCTAGCATGAAACAGCCTGTCGCCTCTAATTGTCGACTTCTATGTTCACTTTTATATTTACACACGTTCTATCTCTGATATTGAAAACTTTATCCCATAAATATAGCACATCTTAAGACTATGTTACTTTATATATATATATATATATATATATATATATATATATATATATATATATATATATATATCAGTGCGTAGGTATGCAGAAAATAGAAAAGAACACGTTCCTAAAATTTCGCTTGAAGATGAAACGGGACTAAACACCACAATTCAACATAATTTTAATAATTATTTGGATGGTTTCGGCTCTCGTTTTTGAAACATGAGAACTCTTATGTAGCGAAGGAATCATATTTTTAAACAAAAATATTATATATATATATTCGTATAAAAAGAATAAATGTGCAAACATAATATAAATAATTGTGCGTCCATAACGCTATAAATAAATTTTAACCTATCAAAGTTTGTAGAAAAGAAACGTTCTGAATGAAAGACTAAGTTGTGAGTAAGCAACCGTTTATATAATAGATATTAAATAAGATGATATATATATATAAAGACATTTTTATGTTTAACATTCTTTTTATAGATACAAATATTTAAGTAAATGCTCTGTTCATAATAAAATTATTTACCGGCCTGAATGTTCGAGAAATTTTCATATAAAATATTCGTCCTCCGACAGGATTCGAACTTGTATCCTATACAGAACCGTCATATACCTGACGTGCTTTTAGCGATTTCGCCACAGAGGATCGAATGGTTAGCCAGGTCAAATTTACTGCTTTTAAACTGCAATCATCCAAGAATCTCTCACGTACATTCATGTCTGCTCACGGTGTATGAATTATAAACAAATGGCGTCACATTTTGAATGTTAAAAATGTCTTAAAATAATTGTCGGACTTTGTCCATTTAATAATGTGTGACGTCATTTGTTTAAACTTGATACGGCATGAGCAGACATAGATGTACGTGAGAGATTCATGGATGATTGCAGTTTAAAAGCAGTAAATTCGACCTTACTAACCGATCGATCCTCTGTGGCGAAATCGGTAAAAGCGAGTCAGGCTATATGGTGGTTACGTGTAGATTACAGGTTCGAATTCTGTCGGAGAACGAATGTTTTCTATGAAAATTTCTTGGCTATTCTGGCCGGTCAATGTTATTTAATACTGTTTATTATAAACAGAGCATTTACTTAAATATTTGTATCTATAAAAAGAATGTTAAACATAAAAATGTCTAAAAATAATTGTCGAACTTTCTCCATTTCATAATATATATATTTAATTAAGTTTTTGTGGTACAGGATTTAATAATAGCTAGGAAGAGACCAAATTTAGAAGGAATTTTTTTTTAAAAAAATGCTAAAAAAAAAAAGGTTTCGTTCCGGGACTTATCAAGTTTATTTTTCTGGGAATAGAAACTTTATAAAAGCGTGTTAATTAAAAGAACGAATGGAATGGAAAAAAAACAAAATGAATTTCAAGAAAACTAGAGTCCAGTAACATTCAGACCCAGTAAGCATTCCCTCTGTTTACAAAAGGAAGGCCCACGGGATCTGATATACAAGGACCCTAGAACCTTGAGGAGATATGTGGAGTGGGACCTAGATAAAATCAAAAAACGGTTCACACTAAAATAAATCACATATTTCCTACTATTTATTATATGCTCAGCAAATAGCAGAGCCGAAACTATTGGTTAGTTGGCTCTTCCTGGCAGACGGATTCAAAATCCTGGGTGGGTATATGTCGTTTTATTCTCGCATCCATATAATGCATATATATATATATATATATATATATATATATATATATATAAAGAGAGAGAGGGAGAGAGAGAGATGTTTGTGTGTGTGTATATGTATACATACATAAAAAAATGTTTTATTTACCCATAAAGTTCCTGTTTCACGCCCAGTGAGTTTTTCAAATTGGATTTTTAATAATTCCAATATCCTTTGTTATTTTCAGGTTTATCAAAAGGAATGCATCAACGTGCCATTATTTAGAAATAATGTCCTTCCGTTTGTTTATTAAATTATTCACATTCAAAAATTTACTGTATCTCTTCCGTGCATAGATCGCAATTCGTTTCTCTTTGTCTTTGTTTGTTTTCTAACATTCTAACGGGGACATTCATTTGTTGCCGAGCAGTAACGGAAGTTATCCATGTTCACATTAGCCTATTAGCAGAAAATGAGTTAAACGGAAACGATGGATTAGCATCAAATCTCATGTGAAGAGTGGCACAGTTGCTTGTGAAAGCTTAGCTCTTTTAAAAATAGTGTACACGCCGTAATGAAATCTAAGGTTTTTTATTGACCCAGGCGGTTCTAGAAAGAGCGATAAGATGTGCCCGATGGCAACTGTGTGAGCAGCCAAAAAACACGAGAAACATATGTAGATATTTCGTAGATGGAAATCTATCTGGTGGTAACAACTTCAAATCTCGTCTGACAAGTGGATTTTCCACTAGGAACCTGTGGTTGATGCATAAGGAATCCCGGAGATCCTGGCGATTAAATCAGTTACAAAATTAGGGTATCTACATAATTCACTCAGATTTATCCCTCTCATATGATTTCTGTACATTTCTACAAATGAAAAAAGCTCTGAAAGGACAAAGACTTACTGATGTCTACCAACGCATGCCTACATTAAAGAGACGTAATCTGGAAGACGAGTTCCAAGAATATCTCTATCAATGGCAGCATCGTCTCTCGAAGTGCCTAGTTTCCCAAGTGAATAGTTTGATGTATCAGCATGACGATAAGAACTATGGCCAATCAAAGCGGTGCTTTAAAACAATGAATCATTTTCTTGCACGAAAACAACATTGACAACATAAACATATACATTGTCTGATGTATTCAATATATATATATATATATATATATATATATATATATATATATATATAGAGAGAGAGAGAGAGAGAGAGAGAATGAGAGAGAAGGATTGTAGATCATCATCTGTATGCTGCATCCGTTTAGGACATGGTCGATCAAGACTCACCAAAAATTCCTATGCGAAAATTTAGGGAAAATAGCGAACCACCAAGATGACGAGGTGGTGTGAATAACTGAACGGGTGGACGGGAGGCTTAGCATAGATAGATAGATAGATAGATAGATAGATAGATAGATAGATAGATAGATAGATAGATAGATAAAGAGCAGACTGAGATAGATAGATAGATAGATAGATAGATAGATAGATAGATAGATAGATAGCAGACTGAGATAGATAGATAGATAGATAATGAGCAGACTGAGATAGATAGATAGATAGATAGATAGATAGATAGATAGATAATGAGAAGACTGAGATAGATAGATAGATAGATAGATAGATAGATAGATAGATAGATAGATAATGAGAAGACTGAGATAGATAGATAGATAGAGAGAGAGAGAGAGAAAGAGAGAGAGATAGATAATGAACAGATTAAGATAGATAGATCGATAGATATGCTGTGTTCCAAATAACAAAGTTTGATAGATAGATAATGAACAGACTGAGATAGATAGGTAGATAGATAGATAGATAGAAAGATAGATAGATATGCTGTGTTCCAAATAACAAAGTTTGATAGAAAGATAAGAGACTGATATATATATATATATATATATATATATATAGATAGATAGATAGATAGATAGATAGATAGATAGATAGATATGAATAATTTATTTTTATCTATTACTTAATAAGAGTTTGGGTCTAGATTTTTTATGGATACACACTCACGCTCACACACGCACACACACACACACATATATATATATATATGTTTATATGCGTATGTGTGTATATAGATAGATATACAAGTTTCATTAAAACGACTGACGAGCCACTTCGATTAGTCATTATATTCATTTTTTCTTGCATTCGTACAAGTGTTTTCTTGTGTAAACTTGAAGTGGGTAAAAACTGTTTAAAATTCTGTATATAACCGATCGCTTCTCGTTATTTTATTAGCCATTATCAAGTATGCTTTTCATTTTGATTTTTACCTGTTTCTCTTGATTTTTATATATGTTCCATCTATAGTGATGAGATTTTTTTTCGAAAGTTTTGAAAATAAATAAAAAACATTTCAGTAAAAAATATAGTTGGACGAAAAACAGACTAAAAGACTTAATCGCGGTATGTTTATAATAATAAAACGACAAGTAGCTGCCCAAATATACAATTATATCTATCTATCTATCTATATATATATATATATATATATATATATATATATATATATATATATATATATATACATTATGTATATTTAGGCACCAATTATTTATTAATGCCTGTTTCATTAAATAATATACACAAGTTTTGTCTATTTATATTAAGTAAGTTCCTTTCATATTGTCTGATAAGCTTAATCATATTATCGTTGAAAGACGAAAGGAAAACACCATATTGATACATGTTTAAATCCAATCTAAGCTTTCGGCTTACATGAGCCATTATGAAAGATGACATTTTCAATAAATCAAGCAACATACGGACGGAACAGCAATGATAGTCCACCCTTGCTGCATGAAAAATTCCAAGTAACGACAAACTCGTATATACGAGACGCGGAAGCAAAAATCGTGTCGCAGCTCGTGAAGTCACACATGACTACGCGAGAGTGAAAAACGAGAAGTATTAAGTATGGGAAGCCGTTGGTATAAAAAAATGGCTTCTGTTATAAATTATAGGCATTTAAGGATATTTGTGGAGATTTCATAATTTATTTTGTTCAGGTTAGGTTTCAACTGTTTTATGTATACAGCTTCAAGAATTTTTCTTTATTGTTTTCATGTTTAAGTATAGTTGTGTTGGGAACAAAGATTTTCCGTAATTTTGTACGCGGGCAGGCATGTTGTTTTAAATGTCTAAAATGTTAGTGTCATCATTTAAATGTAGAGTCAAGCGACGTGAAAGCGAGTTTGTGGTGTGACCAACATAAATATCATTTAATCCTTTGGAGATACAATCTTCCAAAGGGCACTTGAATTTGTAAACTATGTATTTTCCAGGTATCTTTGAAGGTCAATTGTTGTAGTATTGTAGAACTATTCTAGTTGAACTAACCCTCTGTTTGCATGGGATCTGGGCTTATATAAACGATCAGCATCAGGTTTGGGAACCATTCACGTTTTGGCGTCCATTCGCTCAATTTCAGCTATAATCCAGTTAAGGGAATTAAAGTTGTATTGCACCACAGGGGCAGCCAAGGAATTTATGGCTGGTATTCTGTTTGTTTTCTTTTTAAAATTCAGCTCAGTATTCAATACCAGACACACATGCCTGTAATACTCCTTTCTTACCTTCTTCTTCATTTGGGTATGCTGTATACCATCCACTTCGCTAATCCCTAGGATTTAATTTTATTCCAGTTCCCTAATTTTTGTGACAAAGTCTAAATCTATTGATTCTGTTTCTGTAATACTTCCTTTCTTGAATATTACTTTTACACATTTAAAAAATACGAAATCCATACATATGTCGTCACTGAAACATTTTACGATATTGAGGAGGCCCTTCAACTCACTGTCATCTTTGGTAAAGAGTTTGAGATCATCCATGTAGAGTAGGTTATTGAATATTTTTTGTTTAGTTTGTCACCATAGCTACTGTTGTTTAGTTCATGCGTAAGTGGGGGGTTAAGGACAAACAAAAGGGGTGAGAGGGAGTCTCCATGAAAGATTCCACGTCGGATATTCAGACAGTTGGAGATGGCAGTGTCTCTGGTGTGATTTACGTATAGTTTGGTTTTCCACATTCCCATGCTGTGCTTAAGAAAATTTACTACCACAGGGGAGACTTTTTACATTTCCAAAGTATTAAGGATCCAAGGGTGTAGCATACTATTAAAGGCTTTATGATATTCAATATTCGCTGCGCTAAGATTTCTACATCGTCTCCTGCAATTTTCCAAGATCATTTTGTTTATCAATAGTTGGTCTTTGCAACCATATGAACCTTCCAGTAGAAGTGAGGTTCTGCAAGACAAACGTGATTATACGTAGTGCAGGGGACATGTTATTGGTCTATAATTTGTTGGATCATATTTCACCCATTTTTAGCAGGGATATGTAATATCTTCAGTGATCTATTTTGGGTCTTCATTGGGGGTATTAAACATTGATAGATATTGTGCAAGGGTTTTATGGATTGATAAAAGATGACAGAGCCAAAAATTTGGTACCTTGGTATTTCCATTTTAGTGATTTCGTTAGTCCTTGCATAACATTATTCGTGGTTATATTTTCCCATTAGAGCTTTGTACATCATTCGTTCTTCTCGTTAGATCCATTCTGCATTCGGTGTATATTCCTGTGGGCTGCTCCAAATATTCCCCCAAAATTTATGCAGTTCTTCAACCGATGGTGGCTTTTTGACATGTATAACTGCTTTTCCAATTTCCCTGTAGAATTTCTTAAGATCCGTTTGGAATATTTTATTTCTGCGAAAGCTACAATGTTTTTCGTATCACCTTATTCTCTGTGCCTTTAACTGTAGTTTCTGTTTTAGTATTTCCTTGATTGATGGAATTCCATTTCGTTATTTAATTTAATATTTCCGCTTGATTTACCTGCATTTGCGTATCGGGATATTGGGGTTTCTAGCGATCTTATCTCATATCGAAATTTCACAAATTTCCTTTATTTCTCTCATCAGTTCTGCCTTCCAAGCAAGCTCTTTTTGTCTTTTTTTAATTCTTTCCATTATCTTGGTTCCAAGCTACACAGCAGCTGCTAAAGTTGTTGCGTATATGACATTATTTGCTTCTGGGATATTTTTCAGTGTTTTTTTTTCCGTTAACAGTGTTTCAAATGCAGCGTTGTATATTTGCAAAATGTGTTTATTAGACTTTGTCATATGATTTATTGTGTGTTGGTCTGACATTTGTCTGAGAGTTAGTCTGCTGTGTACTTAGATGACGTGGTTTTTCGCTTCGGTGATTTCACCTCTGTTGTTTTCAAAGAATTCTACCCTAATGTAGTTTGACTCATCTTCAGTCACATAATCTGGATTATTGCAGTTTATGTCGCAGGTAGATTCTTTGAATTTATTTCCAGAGAGATTATTATTTCGTATTTCATTTATTTTAGTTTTTACCTCATTCTCTGCCATATTATTTATTTCTCCTCTCTTCTCTTTACTGTTTGAGTGATGAGGTATTGTATTCTGTCTTATGTCTATTTTTATCTTATCTGTTTCTGCATTTGAGAGTCTTTTGTTTCGTACGATGTTCCTACGGACATTGGGAAGCATGTTTGTGTTGACGTGGGCTCTTATTCCATGTTCCTACCATAGTTCTCCGGATTTCGTATGTCTGATCCTTGATGCTCTTTTATGTATTTTCAAATGTGAAAAATGATGTCATGACTTGTCGATATGTGATTGTCGTGAGCAAGATACGCGACATCATGCCCGAAAACGCCCACGCATTGCATGGATATGGTGTCGTAGAGCAGTTGAAGGAAGGGAGAACTGGCGGAGTACGCCTACGCATATGTAAAACTCTCCCACTCAACCAATCATGTGCTTCGTCATGGTCTATAAAATGAGTGTGTCTGAAGGCTTTGGAAGTTGAGGCCGAGAGAGCCGACTGCCCCGAACGAGAGACGACTGCCCAGTACGAGAGACGACTGCTCTGTATGAGAAACGACTGCTCTGAACGAGAAACGACTATAACTATATATATATATATATATATATATATATATATATATATATATATATATATATATATATATACATGTTCATGCACGTTTCATTAAATAATATAGACAAGTGTTGTCTATTTATTTTATATAAAATTTTTCGTAACGTCTGATAAGTTTAATAACATTATCGTTGAACGAAGAAAGAAATTCACAATACATATATATATATATATTAGTAGTAGTAGTAGTAATAATCTTAGAAGTATAAAAAATTATACTCGTCGGGAAAACCTTCGGTGTCTTGATTTGCGAATAATCAAACCAATAACAAAAGGAAAAAAAGCTATATAAAAAAGAAAGACCCAAGAACATGTACGTTAGCCGAAAATAATCGTCTAGCATGCAAGTCCAAAGCCCAAAGAAAAAAACACCGATACGAGTAGGCAAAATAACTAAATAAATGCTCAATATATATATACAAACCTACCTATTAGATCAGAAATTGTGGTGAAATCTTTTAATAAGTGTGACATTAGCAATGCTCTCAATGGAACGGAAGATGGCGTATTATTTAACGACGATGATAGTAGTATTGAAAATGAGTATCAGAGTTTTGGTAACGAACATGAATAATTTTATGGATTTGAAGATGAATAAAATTTTAATCGTAATTGTACTGTTTTGCTCAATTGTAATAATTGCTTGATTTTTATTTTGTTTTCTTGCCTTTGGATATAATAAAGTTTTTAGAGGTTCGTGTTCTTTTTTTCCTATTAATTTTCGTTTAATTGTAATCATGGCTTCTTTAACCAAAATAATACTTCTTAAATATAGCCAAGGCTGTATTATTTACTAATAATTTACTAATAATTTTCCTAATTTACTAATAATTTTACTAATTTATTAATAATTTACTAATAATTTTACTATTTTTTTTTAATTTTGTGCTAATTTTTTCTTGATTTGCCCTGCTGAAATTGGGGTGCGTTTTATACACCCGTGCGTCTTATATACTGTCAAATAAGGTAAAGAAAAGAAAAATTTAATTTCAAATTGTATACTATTTATCATATTGAAAGGCTAACAAATTATTATTATTAATATTATTATTATTACTATATTGAGGAACTTCATCAAGGCAAATGTACAAGCTTATTAACAAGCGTAATTTTCATTATTTACATTATTCGAACTATTGTCCTCATCTTTGTCGCCATATTTATTACGACGTTTCGGCCGTTGTACGCTGCATCCTTCTTCAGGTGGTTGGAATATCGAACTGAACCCTTTATTTCGCTCACTGGGGTAGACTTTTTTTATTCCACATGTCAGTTATCAGTTATCTCCTGTTAATTTCCCTCTGAAATATCTCCACTGCCTTAACCGGGTATTGAACTCACAATTTTTATATCCTGTCATGGATCTAACCAACGAGTTCAATACCGGTTACAATATATAACTATTTTTTTATATAAATTACAGGATATAACAATAAGTGATATCCATTTTATACATGGCAGCTGGAACAAAACAGTCTACCCCAGTGAGCGAAATAAAGGGTTAAGTTCGACATTCAAATCATCCGAAGAAGGCTAAGCGTACAATATATAAACGTTGTAATAAATATGTTGATAGATATATACATATATCCGAATAATGTAAATAATGTACATAATACCTAATCTCAGAAATATAGACAGATACTGAAAGGCTGAAACGTTGTAATAAATATGGCGACAAAGATGAGTACAATAGTCCGAATAATGTAAATAATGTACATAATACCTCATCTCAAAATATAACAGATACTGAAAGGCTGAAACGTTGTAAATAAATATAATTTGACAAAGACGAGGGTCAATAGTCCGAATAATGTAAATAATGTACATAATACCTCATCTCAGAAATATAGACAGATACTGAAAGGCTGAAACGTTTAAAATAAATATGGCGACAAAGATGGTTTAATAGTCGAATAATGTAAATAAGGTACATAATACCTCATCTCAGAAATATAGACAGATACTGAAAGGCTGAAACGTTGTAATAAATATGGCGACAAAGATGAGTACAATAGTCCGAATAATGTAAATAATGTACATAATACCTCATCTCAGAAATATAGACAGATACTGAAAGGCTGAAACGTTGTAATAAATATGGCGACAAAGATGAGTACAATAGTCCGAATAATGTAAATAAGGTACATAATACCTCATCTCAAAAATGTAGACAGATTATTATTATTATTATTATTATTATTATATTGAGGAACTTCATCAAGGCAAACGTACAAGTTTATTAACAAGCGTTATTTTATATAACGGTTTTAACTCTATATAAAGACAGGCTTCTCAATAAAATTCGCCCTGACGAAGTGCCTCAAGCAAGGAAACGTGTTGTAAAAATAAGTTTTCTTCTTCTCACTACTTTTATCAATATATTATCATTTTTCTGATCTTCATCGTGTTTTAGCAAACGAATTCCCGCGAGAATTCCGAATCTGCCTGAGGACCGCCTATTGTTTGCCAGGCCCGCGTGAGATAGACGCACATTTCCGCAACGGATACAGACAGGTGACCGGAGGAAACACTGATCTGGCGTTGCCTCTTCTCCTTCCGCTCTGTATCTGCGTTTGGGTTCTCTAATGAAAGTTCCTTGGAAGATCTTGCGGCGCCAGGAAAGCTTGTCGTCAAATGCCAATTCCTGTTGACAGTGGTCAATATAGCAAGTTCTTTTTAGGGAATATCATATTTGTTTCTTCTGGGATTCGCTTACTTAACAGTCGCAGTATAGAAATCTCAATGGTGACCTGTTTTGTTTTGTTTTCCCACATTTTTTTTAATTTCACTATAAGGAAGGAAAAAAAAAACACAAAGAGACAGGATATTAATAAGTGTTCAAAGAATATGAGAAAAAGAAATACATTATTTAGGACTCATTATCAGTGCGCATCCACTACCGAGAATTGAAACCCAGACAGACACCTTATCAGACAAGCGTCATACCAACGGTACCAACGGGCTTAGTAGGTGAAGAGGTAGCGAATTAGCACCGCTCAATAACATATTTCATGGTGGAACTCATACGAGTTTCCATTACGCATAGGACTGTGCCCCGACAGCCACGACTACTGACCCCAAGCCGCTCTATCCGGAGCATTAGAAGCAGGTTCAAGTAAGGATATGCAAGTGATAGAAATTATACGGGCGATTTGAGATAATCATAATTAAGTAATTCATCGAATTTAGAAGAAACCTCAACAAAATGCAGAAAGCACCTAACGGCCGTTCCGTACTCCTCAGCAGTGAGCATCCACTACCGAGAATTGAAACCCGGACAGTTACGTTATCAGGCAAACGTCATACCAACTGTACCAACGGGTCTCGGTGACAAAGAGGTAACGAATTAGATTCGATATAGCGCCGCTCGATCATATATTCCGTGGTGGGATACATTCGGGTTTCTCTTTTACACATAGGACTGTGCCCCAACGAGCAAAGACTACTATCCGCAAGACGCTCCATCCAGATCATTAGAAACCGGTTTAAGCAAGGATATAAAGCTAGAAATGATTAGGAGGATTTGAGATAATTATATTTAAGTAATTCATCGAGTCTAGAAGAAACCTCAATAGAATGCAGAAAGTACTGGATGGCCGTTTCGTCCGATATTTGGGACATCATCAGCAGTGCGCATCCACTAACGAGAATTGAAACCCGGACAGTTTCTGCATTCTGTTGAGGATTCTTCTAGACTCGATGAATTACTTAAATAATTATCTCAAATCCTCCTAATAAATTCTATCTGACACACAAACACACGAATATATATATATATATATATATATATATATATATATATATATATATATATATATATATATATATAAGGTTTATGTCAGAGTTGAATCAGACGAGAAAACAGTAACAGTGAGCAATACACGTGTGAAAAAAATACGATAAAAGTAAAAAATAACATGTAGAGCTTTTAACTTTAACCCGAGAACACTAACCATCAATTAAAGTTACAACACTACTAATCATGGATATATCATACCCGATATTGAAAATATAAAGAAAAAAAAACCTTGTACTTTGAGATAACATTAATAGGAACTGAAAAAACATATTATTTAGGTAAGAAAATCAGGTACTGAAAATTGTAATAAAAAATAGGAAAATTTGCGCTGGGTACTATATACCCATGGTTAGTTTTCTAGGGTAAAAAATCTGGATGTCAGTTGAATCCGCTACGTTGGTTTCAACCTTACGGTATTCTCCAGCTATTTTTATCAATTGACCTCTTAACGCTTTATTTATTTTATTTTAGAAGAAGAAGAAGAAGAAGAAGAATGAGGAGGAGAGGAAGAAAGAGAAGATGAAGAAGAATGAAGAGGAGAGGAAGGAATGAAGGAAGAAGAAGAAGAGAGGAAGAAAGAGAAGAAAAAAAGAAAAGAATGTGGTAGAGAGGAAGAAAAGAAGAAGAAAAAGAAGAAGAAGAATGTGGTAGAGAGGAAGAAAAAGAAGAAGAAAAAGAAGAAGAAGAGAGGAAGAGAGGAAGAAAGAGAAGAAAAAGAAGATAAAGAAGAAGAAGAAGAATGTGGAGGAGAAGAAGAAGAAGAAGAATGAAAAGGAGAGGAAGGAAGAAAAAGAATGTGGAGGAGAAGAAGAAGAAGAAGAAGAAGAGAGGAAGAAGAAGAAGAAGAAGAAGAAGAATGAGGAGGAGAGGAAGAAAGAGAAGATGAAGAAGAATGAAGAGGAGAGGAAGGAATGAAGGAAGAAGAAGAAGAGAGGAAGAAAGAGAAGAAAAAGAAGAAGAATGTGGTAGAGAGGAAGAAAAAGAAGAAGAAAAAGAAGAAGAAGAATGTGGTAGAGAGGAAGAAAAAGAAGAAGAAAAAGAAGAAGAAGAGAGGAAGAGAGGAAGAAAGAGAAGAAAAAGAAGATAAAGAAGAAGAAGAAGAATGTGGAGGAGAAGAAGAAGAAGAAGAATGAAAAGGAGAGGAAGGAAGAAAAGAATGTGGAGGAGAAGAAGAAGAAGAAGAAGAAGAGAATAAGAAGAAGAAGAAGAAGAATGGAAAAAGGAGGAGAGGAAGAAAGAAGATGAAGAAGAATGAAGAGGAGAGGAAGGAATGAAGGAAGAAGAAGAAGAGAGGAAGAAAGAGAAGAAAAGAAGAAGAATGTGGTAGAGGAGGAAAAAAAAGAAGAAAAGAAGAAGAAGAATGTGGTAGAGAGGAAGAAAAAGAGAAAAAAAGAAGAAAAGAAGAAGATATAGGAAGAGATATAAGAAATAGAAGAAAAGAAGATAAAGAAGAAGAAGAAGAATGTGGAGGAGAAGAAGAAGAAGAAGAATGAAAAGGAGAGGAAGGAAGAAAAGAATGTGGAGGAGAAGAAGAAACAGAAGAAGAAGAGAGAAGAAGAAGAAGAAGAAGAAGAATCAGGAGGAGAGGAAGAAAGAGAAGATGAAGAAGAATGAAGAGGAGAGGAAGGAATGAAGGAAAAGAAGAAGAGAGGAAGAAAAAGAAGAAAAGAAGAAGAAATGTGGTAGAGAGGAAGAAAAAAAGAAAAAAGAAGAAGAAGAATGTGGTAGAGAGGAAGAAAAGAAGAAGAAAAAGAAGAAGAAGAGAGGAAGAGAGAAGAAAGAGAAGAAAAAAAAGATAAAGAAGAAAAGAAGAATGGAGGAGAAGAAGAAGAAGAAGAATGAAAAGGAGAGGAAGGAAGAAAAAGAATGGAGGAGAAGAAGAAGAAGAAGAGAAGAGGGAAGAAGAAGAAGAAGAAGAAGAATGAGGAGGAAGGAAGAAAGAGAAGATGAAGAAGAATGAAGAGGAGAGGAAGGAATGAAGGAAGAAGAAGAGAGGAAGAAAGAGAAGAAAAGAAGAAGAATGTGGTAGAGAGGAAAAAAGAAGAAGAAAAAGAAGAAGAAGAATGTGGTAGAGGGAAGAAAAAGAAGAAGAAAAAGAAGAAGAAGAGAGGAAGAGAGGAAGAAAGAGAAGAAAAAGAAGATAAAGAAGAAGAAGAAGAATGTGGAGGAGAAGAAGAAGAAGAAGAAAAAAGGAGAGAAGGAAGAAAAGAATGTGGAGGAGAAGAAGAAGAAAAAAGAAGAAGAAGAGGAAGAAGAAGAAGAAGAAGAAGAATGAGGAGGAAGGAAGAAAGAGAAGATGAAGAAGAATGAAGAGGAGAGAAGGAATGGAGAAGAAAAGAAGAGAGGAAGAAAAGAAGAAAAAGAAGAAGAATGTGGTAGAGAGGAAGAAAAAGAAGAAGAAAAAAGAAGAAGAATGTGGTAGAGAGGAAGAAAAAGAAGAAGAAGAAGAAGAAAGAGAAGAGAGGAAGAAAGAGAAGAAAAAGAAGATAAAGAAGAAGAAGAAGAATGTGGAGGAGAAGAAGAAGAATGAAAAGGAGAGGAAGGAAGAAAAAGAATGTGGAGGAGAAGAAGAAGAAGAAGAAGAATAAGAAGAAGAGAGGAAGAAGAAGAAGAAGAAGAAGAAGAAGAAGAAGAAGAATAAGAATAAGAAGAAGAATGAGGAGGAGAGGAAGAAAGAGAAGATGAAGAAGAATGAAGAGGAGAGGAAGGAATGAAGGAAGAAGAAGAAGAGAGGAAGAAAGAGAAGAAAAAGAAGAAGAATGTGGTAGAGAGGAAGAAAAAGAAGAAGAAAAAGAAGAAGAAGAGAGGAAGAGAGGAAGAAAGAGAAGAAAAAGAAGATAAAGAAGAAGAAGAAGAATGTGGAGGAGAAGAAGAAGAATGAAAAGGAGAGGAAGGAAGAAAAAGAATGTGGAGGAGAAGAAGAAGAAGAAGAAGAAGAAGAGAAGAAGAAGAAGAAGAAGAAGAAGAAGAAGAATGTGGAGGAGAGGAAGAAAAAGAAGAAGAAAAAGAAGAAGAAGAAGAAGAAGAAGAAGAATGAAAAGGAGAGGAAGGAAGAAAAGAAGAAGAAGAAGAAGAAGAGAGGAAGAAGAAGAAGAAGAAGAAGAGGAAGAAGAAAAAGAAGAAGAAGAAGAAGAAGAAGAAGAAGAGAGGAAGAAGAAGAAGAAGAAGAAGAAGAAGAAGAATGTGGAGGAGAGGAAGAAAAAGAAGAAGAAAAAGAAGAAGAAGAAGAATGTGGAGGAGAAGAAGAAGAAGAAGAAGAAGAAGAAGAAGAATGAAAAGGAGAGGAAGGAAGAAGAAGAAGAAGAAGAAGAAGAAGAAGAAGAAGAAAGTCCTCACATAAGCCATCTTCAGAGTCGAATCATGTTGGTCAATTATAATCAATAACAAGACTCGGTGTTTCATGCGGTTAAGCCATCATCAGGTGCTGAATACTCACTGACCGTTAAGCGTTACGAAATTCACCTTCTCGTGAAGTTGATTTAAGATTTTGTCTTATAACATGTTCCATACATTATTGTTGTCTATAATATTTAAATTAATTATTAATAATTTATATCGATCAAAGTCTTAAGGTCGAAAGGTCGAAAATTAAACACACGTAGAAAAATAAATTTACCTTCTTTTTTTATTGTTGTTACAATAGAGTTAGTAGATAGAACAATGTATTTTCATTCGTTGGGTTTATCAGGAAGGACCTCGGACGCTTTTCTTTATTGACGCTGAGCTTAATATCGAGTGACGATTGTCTGTTTAATGCTCGAACGCAATCTTCAGGTTATCAGGCGCCATATCACTATCAAGCTATCTCGCAATCTCAGTCTGTTCATTATCTATCTCAGTCTTTTCATCTATATTTCATATCTATCTATCTATCTCTCTATCTATCTATCTATCTATCTCATCTTATTCATATATATCTATATCTGTATATATCTATCGCTATCTGTTTCTTCTTCATTTCCTTCCTATCTATCTATCTATCTATCTATCTATCTCAGTCTGTTCATATGTATTAGGTATCACCATATATTTTTTAACATTTCGACAGGAATCAGAGAGAATAAAAAAAGATTATCCTTAAGGAGAGAGGTCAATAAAAGAAAAAGAATTAAGAAGGCAGAAGATAATACAAATAAAGCATATCTATCTATCTATCTATCTATCTATCTATCTATATATATATATATATATATATATATATCAGTCTGTTCATATCTATCTATCTCAGTCTGTTCATATCTATGTATCTGTCTGTTCATATCTAACTATCAATCTATCGATCTATCTATCTATCTAAGTCTGTTCATAGCTATCTATTATCTATCTGTCTATCTATATATATATATATATATATATATATATATATATATATATATATATATATATATCAGTCTGTTCATATCTATCTATCTATCTATCTATCTCAGTCTGTTCATATCTATCTATATACTATATATCTCTATATATATATAACAGTCTGTTAATATCTATCTATCTCAGTCTGTTCATATCTATCTATTTTTCTATCTACAATCTATCTGTCTATCTATCTATCTCGGTCTATTCGGATCTATCTATCTATCTATCTATCTATCTATCTATCTATCTCATTCTATTCTTATCAGTCAGTTCTATCTATCCGAAGTTGAATGATCTTTCTTAACTGCTTTTCATATTCCATCTTTTCTGAGACCATATGGCGTTATTATTTGTATATAATTTCCACTCCGTGGACTGTTACCCGGCCATTGTCTGTTTATCTATGTCTTCTTATTAGTTTTACCCATGAATATTGCACGTCAAAACGATATTTACATCATATAAACATATACATATATTAGATGCTCTTTAATTTGGATGTGATAAAACCCGTACAGGTTTGGTCCAAATCCTTTGCCGTCCGAGCTATTTCGAAGCGACATATAACAATTTAAATACATGTGTAAATTTGCCAATGACACAAATGTAAATAAATATAAAATGAAAAATAATACATGAATAGGCAAATGTGATCGATGAGGCAGCTTCAATGTTTTATTCATAGGGGCCGCGTATGAAAAACAGTGAATATTTTAGTAAATAAATAAGAAAACGGTGAAAAATTAATCCGTTTTATCATCGATTACTAAGTTTGTTTATTCAGATGAAATGATTCACATTAGAAAAGTTTCAATATCGTTATATCCTGCTTTTCGTTCTCCGTCTCTCAGTATGTCTGTTCGTCTTTCTTTCATTCTTTCTTTCTTTATCAGTCTGTACAGTATCTCTCTCTCCATCCACCTCTTTCTGTTCATTATCTATCTATCTATCTATCTATCTATCTATCTATCTATCTATCTATCTATCTATCTATCTATCTTTTTCGTATTCTATTCATTATCTTTCTATGTCACTCTGTTCATTATCTATCTATCTATCTATCTATCTATCTATCTATCTATCTATCTATCTATCTATCTATCTATCTCAGTCAGTTCATTATCTATCTATCTATCTATCTATCTATCTATCTATCTATCTATCGCATTCTCTTCTTATCTATTTGTTCTATTGATCCGAAGTTTAATGATCTCTCTCAATTCCTTACCATATTCCGACTTTTCTGAGGTCATTTGCACTTCGAGGTCTGTTATCCCGAACCTGGCCATTGTCTGTTTGTCTGTCTATGACATTATTATTCACGTCTTATGTAAACCACATACAGATTAAAGTCAAACTGTTTCTCTTTCCGTTGTTAATATAAGGTAGGAGTTTTAGGCACATGAATGTAATGTCCCCATTGGTTTGCATCTGGATCGAAAATGATTTTAGTAAATATATAAATATATAATGGGGTGTAAGTCAAGGATGTGTCTTCATTCATTATTCTATCTATCTATCTATCTATCTGGCTAGCTAGCTATCGAAAGACCTACATATCCATCTATCTCAGTCCGAATAATGTAACTAGTGTACATAATACCTCATCTCAGAAATATAGACAGATACTGAAAGGCCGATACATTGTAATAAATATGGCAACAAAGATGAGGACAATAGTCCGAATAATGTAAATAGTGTACATAATACCTCATCTCAGAAATATAAACAGATACTGAAAGGCCGAAACGTTGTAATAAATATGGCGACAAAGATGAGGACAATAGTCTGAATAATGTAAATAGTGTACATAATACTTCATCTCAGAAATATAGATAGATACTGAACGACAAAGTTCTAGAGATAATTGAAACATGAAGGACATTTATGCTTAAAATCAATTAGAGACAGTTGAAATTTCTGTGGCATATAATGAGAAAAGAGAGTTTGGAAAATATAATACTCAGAGGACAGATTGAAGGACAGAGGAAAGCGCCGCATAACTTGGTGAGCTTGAAAGAATTGGATGACGTGGCAAGATTTGGGAGAGATGTTGAAAAGACAACATTTATTGTGAGCCTCAAAAGACTAAATTTTGTGGACAGGCATGATTGCTAACGTTCTGTAAGGAGAGAGTAGATAGATGAAGAAGTAAAAATAATATTAATTTGTTGAAAATGCACTGTTGAAATAGTTCCGGGGCAACTTACACATATCGTTGTGTGTTCTTATAATTTTATAAAACAATGGGGCAGAAATAACTGCCATTTCTGTTAAATAGAAAGAAAAAAAGAAAGCCATATGAGGTGTAAATGGAACAAAAACCTCTCTTGACCATTTATGGGCTATTGAATGCAGTCAGATGCCTTACTGATTTTTTATTTTAGTCGCAGAATCGAAGTTGAAACAGAAGAATTCTTTGTCCTGTGGAAAAGAAACCATTCTGCGGTCTGAACCATCAAAACGATTCTGTTATAGCACTTTAAATAAATAGTAAAAATAGCGGCAAATTTATTATCAATGTTTTATCTGTCATGAATAACTGACCTTGAATAAATTACTTGAATATTCATGACCTTGAACACTCATTCGTCTCCCGCGTAATTACTTAATTCTGATTTGTTCTTTTATAATTGATTATTTGCTGCTCGATCATGTGACTCGTCATTTACAGCTTATTTGCAGACGACATTTGTCTTTCGTTCTGCCCTTTTCGTATGACTAAAACACTCACTAATTTTGAGCGTCAAGTTATCGTAGTTATCAAAGAACACCCGACTTAGGGATCGACGAAATGTGTAGAAATTCTTCCGGAATTTTTTAGTCATTCAGTCGTCACCAGTTTTCAACGGTTGTCTCGCGCCTTTCTGAATTTACCGCTTTTTTTTTTTACAGGGTACTCTGTAGTTAGTGTAGTGACAGACAACAGAAAAAGTGGCACATAAGAATGGCGAATGATGTCTTACAGAGAATAAGCAAAGGATTAAGATATAGGAAAATTTCCTTGGAACAATAAATCGTGCACTGAACAGCCTTGTAATATCTCATCTCCTATATGGTCACGAATGTTAGACAATTTCCTCACAGGTGACGAAGAGACTTCTAGCAACAGAGACGCGCAACAAATATTAAGAATACCATGGGCAAAATATTGGAGAGATGAAGAATTCTTAAATAAAACAGAAAGAAAGAAACTTTTACTTAAAATCAGAAAGAGATAGTTTGTTTCTGGAACTCAATGGACAAAAAAAGAATTCAACCCCTACAGAATATATTGAAGTCAAGAGAGGCAAGGAAAATAACGAATGAGCTACTTAACGAGTTTGAGCGAATGTATGGTAGAACAGGGACAAGAGGTACTAGAAAAGGGTTCAAAGTTATTAGAGCAACGAGAAAATCTTAGAGAATTATGATTGCCACCGTCCTTGAATAACATGGCACGTAAAAGATGAAGACAGCTTCGATTCAGAGTATAATTTTCGAAATTGATTAAGCAAATGAGAAAGGTAAACTTTGCTGCAAACAATAAAAAAAATGCTGAACATATAGACAAAAATAAATGGTGATGAGAGGGGGGCGGTGAAACCGTGCACTGTCTACTTCAACTTCCTCTTTGTCCGACTGACAATCAGTACGTCCAGCTCTATTGCACGCTGTCCGCCGAATGACTTCGATTCCCCCGTGCTGCTGACACCACGCTTTTTATACTACGGCCAAAATTTGCGTGTGTGCAAATATCGTCTCGTTTTGGACGAGATCGGCGCGCATAAATTGCGTCATCAACAGCGGCCATATTTCTTTTTCATCATCACTTTTCAGGCAAGACACGTTCGCGCTCGTTTAGAATTCTGAGGTAAATCATGTTTTTCGTCACAGAACAGCTTCGGTTTAAGTCTCTTTGCGGATGTGATAATATTGAGAAAGAAAAAGTAATTGCCATCGATCGATCCATATGAATGTAAGTGATGTCTACTGGCACAATTTCTTGTAAGATTTTCTGCCAGGATTAATCAGGACTACAGACCTCTGTAGAAATACGCGTTTCTATCACACACACATGATTTTTTTCGGTTAATTGATTCGTTTCTACAGTATTTTAAACATTTATCAGTTATTTAAAGCCAGAAAATAATTTTAGATTGTACAAATATTTTTTGGAGATAATGATTTAGCGATACAGTTAGTTATGCGATCATGTAACTTTCGATACGTGACTGACAAGGCAGATTTTCTCCTGCAGTAGGTTGCCATTTCTTTCTGCGGTAGACGAATTGACCTCCAAAGTGATAGAACACGATTTGTCCTTCTATTTACCTATATCTGGGGAGAGAAGAAGAGGATTCATACCTTTCCCAAAAGGTATTAGCACCTAAAAAGAATGTAATGGATTCGACTGAATTCGAACTCGTCTTTCTGATTCCTCAATCCGTGCCTCTATCCATTACAAATACCGTGCCTCTATCTATACACGCGCGGTAGAACACGGCATGTCCTTCTATTTACCCATATCTGGGGAGAGAAGAAAATGATGATTCATACCTTTCCCAAGGGTATTAGAACCTAAGTGAATATAATGGATTCGACTGAATTCAAACTCGTCTTTCTGATTCCTCAATCCGTGCCTCTATCCATTACTCCACCGTGCCTCTATCTATACACGCGCGGTAGAACACGGCCTGTCCTTTTTTTTACCCATATCTGGGGAGAGAAACAAGAGGATTCATACCTTTCCCAAGGGTATTAGCACCTAAGTGAATGTAATGGATTCGACTGGAATTCAAACTCGTCTTTCTGATTCCTCAATCCTTGCCTCTATCCATTATTCCACCGTGCCTCTATCTATACACGCGCGGTAAACACGGCATGTCCTTCTATTTACACATATCTGGGGAGAGAAGAAGAGGATTCATACATTTCCCAAGGTTATTAGCACCTAAGTGAATGTAATGGATTCGACTGTAATTCGATCTCGGCTCTCTGATTCCTCAATCCGTGCCTCTATCTATACACGCGCGGTAGAACACGGCATGTCCTTCTATTTACCCATATCTGGGGAAGGGGAGAATAAGAGGATTCATACCTTTCCCAAGGGTATTAGCACATAAGTGAATGTAATGGATTCGACTGGAATTCGATCTCGGCTCTCTGATTCCTCAATCCGTGCCTCTATCCATTACTCCACCGTGCCTCTATCTATACACGCGCGGTAGAACACGGCATGTCCTTCTATTTACCCATATCAGTGGGGAGAAGAAGGATTCATACCTTTCCCAAAAAAGGGTAAAACCTAAGTGAATGTAATGGATTCGACTGGAATTCGATCTCGGCTTTCTGATACCTCAAATCGTGCCTCTATCCATTACTCCACCGTGCCTCTATCTATACACGCGCGATAGAACACGGTATGTCCTTCTATTTACCCATATCTGGGGAGAGAAGAAGAGGATTCATACCTTTTTAAGGGTATTAGCACCTAAGTGAATGTAATGGATTCACTGGAATTCCAACTCGGCTTTCTGATTCCTCAATCCGTGCCTCTATCCATTACTCACCGTGCCTCTATCTATACACGCGCGGTAGAACACGGTATGTCCTTCTATTTATACATATCTGGGGGAGAGAAGAAGAGGATTCATACCTTTCCCAAGGGTATTAGATGGTAAGTGAATGTAATGGATTCAGCTGGAATTCCAACTCGCCTTTCTGATTCCTCAATCCGAGCCTCTATCCATTACTCCACCGTGCCTCTATCTATACACGCGCGGTAGAACACGGCATGTCCTTCTACGAGCCGTACCCATATCTGGGGGGAAGAAGAGGATTCATACCTTTCCCAAGGTTATTAGCACCCTAAGTGAATGTAATTGACTCGACTGGAATTCGATCTCAGCTTTCTGATTGCTCAATCCGAGCCTCTATCCATTACTCCACCGTGCCTCTATCTATACACGCGCGATAGAACACGGCATGTCCTTCTGTTACCCATATCTGGGAGAGAAGTAGAGGATTCATACTTTTCCCAAGGGTATTAGCACCTAAGTGAATGTAATGGATTCGACTGAATTCAAACTCGGCTCTCTGATTCCTCAATCCGTGCCTCTATCCATTACTCCACCGTGCCTCTATCTATACACGCGCGGTAGAACACGGCCTGTCCTTCTATTTACCCCATCTGGGGAGAGAAGTTGAGGATTCATACTTTTCCCAAGGGTATTAGCACCTAAGTGAATGTAATGGATTCGACTGG